CAAGAAACCCTAAATCGTGGAGTATCTAATGGGGTCGATGCGATAGCCTCGTGGTCGTGTTTGTGTCCCACTAAGATTCGAAATTGGCGTTTTGTGAACGCCATTGAGGTGATTTCGCTCCAAGGACCTTGTCCCTGAAACGGCACGTATTTGAGCCCATCAAAAGTAGAGAAATTTGAGGTTTAAACAAACAGTCTCCTTGAGGTTGTGTACAGGGTCACTGTTGGGGGTGTTAAAGTTACCCCTTTTAACGATTCCCTTTGGAGAACTTGGATTCCTGATGATGGATTTTTCAAGACAAGTGTTGGGTCTGAGAAGTATTACTTTGGTGGTAGGATCAAGTACCGTGTTGGTGGGGCTAGTCGTGAGGTTGGGCCCGATAATGTCTATAACAGTGCTAGGTTGATCAGGAGTAAGAATGATTCTGTTCCTAGTGTTAATATGACTTGGGTGTTTCCTGTTGTTGGAGGGTACAAGTACTTGGTTCGGTTGCATTTCTGTGATATTGCTAGCATTTCGCTCGGTTTGCTTTATTTCAATGTGTATGTGAATGGGCATGTGGCTTATGAAGATTTGGATCTCTCCTATATTACAAACTCGCTGGCTTCACCGTTTTACGCTGACTTTGTGGTTGATGGAGAGAGAGCTTTGAGGTTGGTGTAGGTCCCTCGGCAGAGAAGCATGGCGTATGTCGTTGGATGGTATATACTGGAATGTCAGTTGAGGTCCATGAAATTGACATTCCTTCAGTAGTCTTGATGGAAGGTTTTGTGCTGATTTTGTATGAGAGAGCTGGTCACGGGAATAATACAGGTATGTGTTTACTCTGGTGGCTGCTGTTTGCATTGTGTTGAGCTTGTCCATAGTGATTCGTAGGAAGTTGCTTGGTCAAGGGAATCTGTGTCGTGGTCAAGGTTGGCTTCGAATTCATCAGATTATAGTGTTAAGAATTAGTTATATCAGAAGATAAGATGAAAAATTGGCAATATTTAGTCAGAAAGTGAACAAGTTATGTGTAAAATTTGTCGGCAAATCTAGCCATAATAGGTAGCTTTCTCGAGAAAAGAATGATTGTAAGTCTGACTTATACAGAGTTTTTAGAGGTTGTTGTATTGTATCTGTGTTGCCTTAATTGTTTATATCATAATATGAAGGCATTCCTTTTGCCACTTTGTTTTCTCGTCATTGTTCATTTTGCTCTATCATGTAATGTTGTAGCTTTTATCTTTAATTTGTGTGAACTTAAGGAAACAGTTATGTAGCTTCATATGGGAGATGGCTTATATGAATTTATACTGATACACCAAATTACCTGTTTCGGTTTATACTTGCACTGAGTATTGCTTAAACGAATCATGAAGCACATTTCTTATTCCATGAGCATGTTTGTTTTGCTCATTTTCTGCAATTCTGAGTATTTATTTAGAAAATTGATCTTCTTGCTCATTTGGATAATTGGTTACGCATTTATCTCTAACAGTTCACAAATTCTTGGATTTCTGACTCATACTACACTTGAATTCCCATTTGAACTCTTTATCTTTTTCAAGCATTAAAAATGAAACATCCGAATCACAGTTTAAAATATTTGATTAATGCAAAAGGTTTGTGAGTATGAAAGAGGGTCTTTTACCTAACTCAGAGAACCAAAGAAGTTCAATTAAAGCTTTGAATTTTGGGGTGAAGAATGGTGGATTAAAATCTAATAAGTTCTAAGTATAGCGATTTGGGGATGGAAAGGAAGGGAATGAGATATTATCTTTAGTGAATCACATCAATTCAACTCATTTATTAACAAGTTCAATTTGAACCTAGTAAGGTCTACCAACCAAAGGTTTGTGGGGTTTGCCTAATTATAATTTTTTTTCACATTATAATTTTTTTTAATTGAAATATAATAAGTTCATTTCAAATCAAATATAATTCAAAATGATGTTAAATTTTAAATATACTTAAATCACAAAAATACAATACAATCCAAATACGGTTAGAAATACGAGAGCATCTATGGTTTTTATTTTTATTAATAAATTTAATATTTAAAATTGGGTTAAATATGTTTTTAGTTCCTAAACTATTGGCCGATTTTGGTTTTCGTCCCTATTTCAAGGTAAGGTACAATTTGGTCCTCATTCTTTTCGAAAAGTTCGTTTTAGTCCTCGAAAACTAAACACTGTTTAAAAATTTGGTCCTCATTTAACAACAAATGAGGACTAAAACCAAAATTCCGAGGACTAAAACGAACGTTTTCGAAAGAATGAAGACCAAATGTATCGTACTTTAAAATGTACTGAAAACCAGAAACGGCCAATAGTTTAGGGACTAAAAACATATTTAACCCTTTAAAATTCATAGATGGATTGGAAAATTGAGTTTTTAATGGGTTGAATTCATTTTTGGTTCGTGTCAAAATATATAATTTTTTTTAATTCAATCTATCTTGAATCTATGGTGTCTCGGATTAGTTCACAGATTATAGTAAGTCGATTAGTTCATGGATTCTAACATTAGTTCTTCCAATATTCAATTTAATTTAAAACAATTCAAGCATATTAGTTTAGATTTTTCTTTTAAAGATTGGATCAAACTCATAGTAATTTGTTAAGTGATAAATTTTTGTTAAATTAGACTTTAAATTAATTCAATCAATATCAAAATGATTAATCATAATAAGATTAATATAATTAAATTATTGAAATACTTTTAGTTTTTTCTCAATTAAATGTATATTTGTTTTTATTTTTTTCAATATTAAAATATTATAGTTTAGAACCACTGGCCAAACGGGTAAAGTTGCTCAAAACGACACGGCCGTTGACCAAGACATGAAATTGAGCTCGACCCAGATCTATGTTGGAGGAGTTGAAGGGGTGGAAATGGAGGCGCACGATGTGGGTGCCTTTGTCGGTGACGGGGAAGGAGTACCTGGCGGGGCTAGTGAAAACCCTAGCGGTGTGGTAGATTGGGAGTAAGTCGGGTAGGGGGTTATAGTTTCGGAGTGAAACGGCACGGGGTAAGGGAGAGCGGTGGTCGACAAGATCGCCAGCGAAGGGGCGGTGGTCGACGAGGGTGGAGGGAGCGGCAGAACCGCAGTTGATGAGGTAGTTGTCAGGGGGAGAGAAGAGGTGGGAGAGGCTGGGGAAAGGAAGGAGAAGGAGAAGGAGGAAGAGGAAAGAGAAGAGGGTGGAAGGCATGTTGTGATGTGGTAGAGGGAATTAGATGGTGAAATTTGGGTGGGAAGAGGAAGAAGAAGAGAAGAAGAAGAAGAAGAGAAGAAGAAGACTGAGTCAGAGAACGTGGAACGGACCCACACGCTCTCACAACCTGGTAACTCACTGTCTTGACTCGTTCTTTCGTCGTGTATTTAATTTTTTAAGGTTTGATTTTGTTTAGAATGTTTTCTTCTTTTTATATTTTTATAATATAAATGATGTATAGTCACGAAGATTTTTGTTTACGGACACATATTGTGTCAAGAACTATGAACTAATGAGTCAATAATTACACAGTTTTTTCAATTCTGTAAAAGTGTATATAATTTTTTAGTTAATTTTTAAAAATATTAAAGTTAAAATTTAATATTATAAAATAAAATTTGACTTTCGGTCGTTAAGTATAGAGTTAGGTTTAATGTCTCAATAGATTTCTATTTTTGTTCAGAATTTGAAATAGGTTCATTTATTTTTTGGCGTCTTTATTTTTGTTAATTTGATGCAAATAAATTATTTCCGTCAATTTCATCAAAAGGGGTTAATGAATGTGTGACGTGGCCTTACACGTATCAATACTGTCGTCAGGCCACGTCACACATTCATTAACGCAAATTGACGGAAAGGATTTATTTGCATCAAATTAACAAAAATAAGGACCCAAGACTATCAATACTGTCCTCAGGTCACGTCACACATGCATCAAATTAACAAAAATAAGAACCCAATTGAGACGCCAAAAAATAAAGGGACCTATTTCAAATTCTGAACAAAAATAGGGACCTATGAAGACATTAAACCTACATAGTTATTATTACAAAAGATATTGAGTTTATATGTTATTTTAGACACATTTTTCATTATAACATTATTAATTGATTTCAATAAAAGTTTATGTAATTATTATATTTATTCAAGAAACAGCTCACTTGTATATAAAAACAACTCATTTTATGGTTAATGTTTCTAAAATAAGGATAAACTTAGGAACATGTGTTAAAAAAAGTTTTCAGTTTAAAAGGATGTAAAAATAAAAAGAAGTTAAATAATTTTTGTAAGATGCAAAACATATCAACATGCTGTAGTTTACAGGTTCATGTACAAAACAAATTTTCAAAAAATGTTGGTGTCACAAATTATGTGTGAAGAATTAAAAAAAAATTGAAACATAGATATCTTTTTGTTATCCCAAAGGATATTTATAATTTGTCCATTAAGATTCATTGAATTGTTTTGATTGGTACAAAAACTTTTGAGATGTTGGTAATCTTTGATACCACATACAAGATTGATGCATGTGACATGTCCTTTTATGGTTTTATTGGATTGAAAACCAGATAAAAAGTATATTAGTTGAATGTGTAATTCTTCATAATGAAACTAGTAATGTCTTTTTCATGGTTAATGGAATATTTTTTAGTATGTAATTTTTTTAATTATCCAAACGAAAAAGATAATTAAAATTTTAATTTCCTAACATTACAAATTAATTTTTTTTTCTCATTACAAATCCTTATGTTTTAGTTCAACTTAGACAATTTTGATTAACAAATATTCACACAGGACAAAAGTTATTCTTTAATCACATCGTACAAATCTAATGTAAATTACAATAATTTTACATCATCATAAGAACCCCACCCAAATAAACACCAATTTACACACTATGAAGTTCTCAAAATTATTTGAAAATCACAGATAAGAAAAAAGAAAAATGAAGAACACGATTAAGAATATTATTAGCTTAATCCTATTAACCATTAATTAGCAAATTCATCTTTTCTGCATTCTCCCACTTCAATCACCATACTTCCTTCCTCCTCTGTTGGTCGAAACCTGCAACAATTTCTCCTCGGAGACTGCTCAAACAACAACACAAACCAAAAACCCTTTTAAGTAAGCAAATTCTCCGTTTCATTCATCAATATAAGGTGAAACTTGAGAAAAGAAAGAACATACCTTGTCCCACAAATGCGAATCGAGTTTCTTATAAACCCTAATCATTGAGATTTGGGTCGGATCTGGCATTTTCCACCTGCAATCCGGGTTGGGCTGGACCCGAACATAGTCACTGACAGTCTCATCAGCAACCCCATCGTAGATGGCATTATCCAAGTAGAAAACAAAAGGTTTCAGGCAAGCATTCCGGCTGAAAGGGCGCGTGTTGAATGGAAATCCGGTATAATCCGCCCGCCGGATCCAATTCAGAAAGGTTCTGCCCGGCATCTCCATGTCCCGGGCCAAGAAAATGCCCCGGAATATTTGAACCGCATAACCCCATGAAACGGAAACGGTCCAGTGCCGGGCTCTGTCGTAGCATATGGATTGCTGCATGAGCCCATACGAGTCCAGTCTCATGGGCCCAATAAGCTTCTGTAGGGCCTCCACACGGTTCACGTTCGGGAATATGGGCTCAACCACGTCCAAGTGATGCATCGAAACTAAAGATGTAACGGGATGTGCTGCTAAGAGCCCAAACACGCTGCCATATACATCAAACTGAAAACAATATGCAAAATACACTTTTATATTGTATAAAAATAAAAAATATTAAAGTGTTTTACGAAGAGTTTTTGAGTGTGAGAGAAAATTATGTGACAATGTGGCAGCCATGATGCATGCATGTGATTATGTGGCATCACGTAATTTTCTTTATGAGTTATGATAGGACACGTGTGCAGAGCAAGAGTGATAAAATCAGCCACGTGCATCACACGTGGAGGCAACGCATGCATTGGATGTTCTTAAAAGCTGGTGTTGAACGTATACAGAAAAATTAACAGTCAAAAAATAAATGAGAAAGGAAAAGGTAGAGGAAGCAACAACATTTCGTAATTGCTTTTTTGGATCGTGGGAGATGAAAATGACACTAACAGTGCTGATTTTGGTTTTGTTTGGTAGAGAAAATCCTGCACCATTTCCTAGGCATCTTAAACAACAATCAAAACTTAACCTCAAATATTGTATTTAGTGTATGCCACCTTAAAGAACAATTAATGTTGTTGTCTTTTTCTGTTTTATGGCCTTATTGTTGTATTATTGAATCCAGGCACGATATTGTCCATTAAATTAATGATGATAATCATCCTTCTCATCTGTCTATTTTGTTTGGGAGCTGAACTGCATCTCAGTCATATACTACTGACAAACTTCATGCAGCAAAGGACCTACTTGATTAATGCTAAAACAGTAACAGTAAATGCAAGTTTTGTTTTATAACTACAGAATGCATGATATTGGAGTGAAGAAGAGAATTACTAATTAACCTGGTGAAAGCCAATTTCCTTGGTGAGAGGGACACCAAGCTCTGCCATACAAGCCTGGATCCTATCATCTGAGCCGAACAATGCAGGGTATCTCTGGAGGCACTGGTCCTGCATTCTCTCCAATGCCACAGCCAAAGGGTAACTTATGGCAAAACCTCCACCCCCATAAGCCATGTTATAGGAAAAATGAATGTTCTGCAAGTGGCTCTCTGAATTGGCCCCTATGTAATAGAACTGCTTGTGATCATACTTCTGCAACACCTTCACCAAATTCTCAGTCACAAAGAAAGTGTCATCATCTCCCATCACGAACCACCTCACATTCTCCATCCCAAGCCTCACTGTCTCCGACACAATTCGAGATATACGAACCCCCAGCTCCTCACGTGGATTCTTCACCTTCAACTTTGAGACATCACTCGATATTCTCAATGTTGGTAAGAGGGTCTCATCACCAGGTTCAATTTTCACTTCTTGGTCTAGCCACACTATTCCCCTTGTCTCGTTTGGCCTCCACCATAGCTTTATGTACTCTTTTCTTTGCCTCCAGAGCCTGGAAGACGCTGCTATGCCAAACACTATGTGTGAAATGTTGGTTTTCTCAGAGGGTTTTGCTGTGTGCTGAGGTTGTGGAGGAGCGGTGGTGCTGTTGGAAACGTGTGTGGTTGTGGAAAGAGGGTAAGGCTTTTTTGGAGGACAATCGTGTGAATGAGTGATGAATCCGAGGGAGTAAAAGAGGTAGGAGATGGAAACCAAGAGGAAGAAGGAGGTGATTAGTTTTGCTATGGTCCATGAAGAGTGGAGGTAGTGTTCTTGATCCTTGAGGTTTCTTTTCATGGTGGACATGAATCAATGGTTTCAAGGTTTGTAGTTGATTTTCACACCAAAATAATGAAACAGCAAAATGTGCAAAGAAGAGGCAGAAAGAGTGAAAAAAGAGAGTTAGCAGAAGAGAACAAAAGGAACCTCTTCTGGGCCCCTTATTATGCAGATCTATCTCTGCATAATTCCTGTGGAGTTCATATAAGTCTCATCAATTCTTAGTATATGTTTAAGGTTTAATTATCCTTTTAGTGGTTATGATTCTGATAACAGTTTAAGTTAGCTGAAATTTTGAGAAGTAAAATCTTTTATATCTGGTAACAAAGTTGAGAATGGGTTATACTTTTCAATTTCTGGACAAACATTAGTGATATAATTTACAAGCAAAACCCATATTCTATTGTATATGAAAAAAATATATATTAATATTTTTATTTTCCTTTTCCTTGTCACATGACATGACACTTTCCATTTCATGTTCACTTCTTTTCCTTATGACAGGTTAGATTTTTTTCATTTATGAACAGGAAAACATTTTTGTAATTTACAATCAAATGACTACATACGGTTAAATTTGAAATAATTATTGATAATTTTTTTATTTTCTTTCATCACATTATACGCTTTATTCCATACTTTCTAGCGTTTTCTTTATGACAAGGTTGGTTACAAGAAATTAGTATTTCAGTAACATTATATACAATGCATATTTACTTTTAAGTAAATGAAAATGTAACTTTTAGTTTTACTCCATCTTCAAAATTTTAATCCTTTTTT